GCGGGTTGGACTTCGGGCTGATACGCCGCTTTGTCTCGGCCACGAGGTGGCCGGTCCGCCGCATCATACGCTGGTAGTGTAGGCTTTAATGCTTCCTCCTCGAGTTGGGGTAGCAACCTGCGCTTTGGGTAACTTTTGGTTGGGCGCTCGAGTTCGTATTCCTCGGCTGCCAGGACCTCGGTCCATCTATCCGCTAGCAGATATTGATCAGCTTGAAGCTACTGTTGCTTTTTCTTCAGGCTTTTTGATGTGGCTATAAGCCGGCGCTTGAAGCGCTCCTGCTTGACGGGATCCTCAGGCACGATGAATTCTTCATCGCCGAGGCTCACATTGTCTTCGGAGAGGGGCATGTAGTTGGCATCCCTTGATTCTCTGTCTGTCTCCTGTTCCTTAGGGCTGGCTTGCCCATCCTCCCGCTCGAAGCCTGGCTGGAGGGGATTGTCTTCATCTTCAGCATTGTCCGTGGCGTTATTGTCTCTTGTGCCGGTATCGTTGCTTTTGCTATGGCCGGGCTTAGAGCGGCATCGATGACGCCGGTGCTTAGATTTCTTCTCGAGGGGATTATCCTCCGTTGCCTTATTGCCTTTGCTTTCTTTGGGGGTGTCCACCATGTATATATCATATGATGAGGTGGTTGTCCTGCGCCCGGTGGGCGGTGGTTCCTATTCTTCTCCTGCATCGTCCTCCATACCGTCGATGTCTTCGGAGCCGAAATCAAGCATGTCGGTTAAGTCGTCGATAGTGGCTATGAAGTGGGTGGTGGGTGGGGAATGAATTTCTTCGTCGTCCGCTTCCCACTCAAGCCGGACATAGTTCGGCCAAGAGTCTCCTGACAAGGAGAGAGGCCTCAATGAATTTAGCACGTCGCCCAAGAGCGAGTGCTGAAAGATATCTACAGATGTAAACTCCATGATCAGTGCCCAATCAGATTCGATAGGCACGGACGCGGGCGGTTCGGAGCCTATGGCCGGGGACGAATCCAAGGGTCCGGTAACACAGGTCTGATAGGAGGTGAAGTCAGTATTCAGCTCTATCACCGTTGAGTGTGCGGCCTCCGTGGCGGGGTCCATCCACCTGTCCTCGGACGGCACGATCTGCTCCGGATTGAGGGCGGGAGTAGCCACAGGTGTGATCTCCCAAATACCGTCCGACGGCAGAGCTAAGTCATGCTCGTCGTGACTATGCAGCGCACCTGACATGGGCTTGAATCCGTCGAAGATCAAGTCTCCACGGATGTCGGCAGTATAGTTCAAGCTTCCAAACCTGACCTGATGGCCAGGGGCGTAGCTCTCAATCTGCTCCAGATGGCCAAGCAAGTTGGCCCGCAGTACGCAGCCGTCGAATACGAAGATCTGTCCAGGGAGAAAAACCTCACCCTAGATCGCATCGTTGCCGATGATCGAAGGAGCCATCAAGCCTTTACGTGACGGCATAGTGGAACTCTCAATGAAAGCACCAATGTTGGTGTCAAAACCGGCGGATCTCGGGTAGAGGGTCCCGAACTATGTGTCTAAGGCTGATGGTAACAGGTGGCGGGGGACACCATGTTTACCTAGGTTCGGGCCCTCTCAATGGAGGTAATACCCTACTTCCTACTTGATTGATCTTGATGATATGAGTATTACAAGAGTTGATCTATCACGAGATCGTAGAGGCTAAACCCTAGAAGCTAGCCTATGATTATGATTGTTGTTGTCCTACGGACTAAACCCTCTGGTTTATATAGACACCAGAGGGGGCTAGGGTTACACAGAGTTGGTTACATAGAAGGAGATCTACATACCCGAATCGCCAAGCTTGCCTTCCATGCAAAGGAGATTCCCACCTGGACACGGGACGAAGCCTTCAATCTTGTATCTTCATAGTCCAACAGTCCGGCCAAAGTATATAGTCCGGCTGTCCGAGGACCCCTTAATCCAGGACTCCCTCGGGCATCTACATCAACCTTATTGCCATTCCGATGAAGCGTGAGTAGCTTACCACACACCTATGGGTCCATAGCTAGTAGCTAGATGGCTTCTTCTCTCTCTTTGATTCTTAGTACCATGTTCTCCTCGATGTTGTTGGAGATCTATCCGATGTAATCTTATTTTGTGGTGTTTTTATCGAGCGATGAGTTGTGGATTTATGATCAGCTTATCTATGAATATTATTTGAATCTTCTCTGAATTCTTATATGCATGATTTGATATCTTTGTAATTCTCTTCGAACTATCGGTTTGTTTTGGCCAACAAGATTGGTTTTTCTTGCAATGGAAGAAGTGCTTAGCTTTGGGTTCAATCTTGCGGTGTCCTCACCCAGTGAAAAAGTAGGGGTAGCGAGGCACGTATTGTATTGTTGCCATCGAGGATAAAAAGATGGGCTTTACATCATATTGCTTGAGTTTATTCCTCTACATCATGTTATCTTACTTAAAGTGTTACTCTGTTCTTTATGAACTTAATACTCTAGATGCAGGCAGGAGTCATTCGATGTGTGGAGTAATAGTAGTAGATACAGGCACGAGTCGGTCTACTTGACACGGACGTCATGCCTATATTACATAATCATTGCCTTGGACATCGTCATAACTTTGCGCTTTTCTATCAATTGCTCGACAGTAATTTGTTCACCCACCGTATTATTTGCTATCATGAGAGAAGCCTCTAGTGAAACCTATGGCCCCCGGGCCTATTTTCCATCATATTAGTTTCCGATCTACTATTTTGCAATCTTTTATTTTCAGATCTATAAACCAAAAAAACCCAAAAATATTTACTTTATCTTTTGGTTAGTTTTGTCTATTTTCCATCATATTAGTGATCGTGAAGGGATTGACAACCCCTTTATCGTGTTTGGTGCAAGTGTTTGATTGTTTGTGCAGGTATTGGTGATTTGCGCGTTCTTCTCCTACTGGATTGATACCTTGGTTCTTAACTAAGGGAAATAATTATCTCTAATTTGCTGCATCACCCTTTCCTCTTCAAGGGAAAAACCAACGCAAGCTCAAGAAGTAGTTGTACTGAACAAACAAGTTTCACGGGTCCTACTTATAATTTTGGATCTACGGCAATTCGGAGAAACAGGTGGAAATCGCTATGCCTAAAGCATGGCAGACGAACTGCTATATTGAGGAGTGAATCTCAGAAAGAAGGAATAGATCTATGATTGATAGTGAATACGAAAGTGGTTGAAGTGTGACTTCAGTGTTGTGTCTGGTTTAACTAAGCAGTAGGATGGATGAACTACCGATGAGCGTGACGAACACCGACGAACACCGAAGAACTGGGGAACCCTAATGCAGATTGGAAGCAAAGGTAGGTGCGTACCTAGTGATGCTGATGGGAAGCGAAGGGGCACTACAGTTTTCTGGTCAAGATCAGGTTGATGCAACGGCCAACATGAAGTTGTTGACTAGGGCGATGGAGCTCTGGTGGTGTGATAACCCATAAGTATAGGGGATCGCAACAGTTTTCGAGGGTAAAGTATTCAACCCAAATTTATTGATTCGACACAAGGGGTGCCAAAGAATACTCTCAAGTATTAGCAGCTGAGTTGCCAATTCAACCACACCTGGAAACTTAGTATCTGTAGGGAAGTGTTTAGTAGCAAAGTAGAAGTGGTACGGTAGCAAAAGGTAACAGTAACAAAAGTAATGTTTTTGGTATTTTGTAGTGATGACAGCAATAGCAACGAAAAAGTAAATAAACGAAGAACAATATATGGAAAGCTCGTAGGCAATGGATCAGTGATGGAGAATTATGCCGGATGTGGTTCATCATGTAACAATCATAACCTAGGGTGACACAGAATTAGCTCCAGTTCATCAATGTAATGTAGGCATGTATTCCGAATATAGTCATACGTGTTTATGGAAAAGAACTTGCATGACATCTTTTGTCCTAACCTCCCGTGGCAACGTGGTCCTTACAGAAACTAAGGGATATTAAGGCCTCCTTTTAATAGAGTACCGGCACAAAGCATTAACACATAGTGAATACATGCATTCCTCAAACTAAGGTCATCACCGGTAAGTATCCCGATTATTGTCACTTCGGGGTTAACGGATCAAACACATAATAGGTGACTATAGACACTACAAGGATCCGGGTCTATTGCAACAAAACCATTCGTCGCAATAAGTGCCCAATTGTCGCAATAGGTACCTATTGCCACAACATGATGTTCGTTGCTAGACGTTGCGACAGGACACATGGTAATAGGTTATTGCCACAAAAAAAGAAACGTGGCAAGAAAGCGTGCTATTGCAACAACCATGTGACAAGTTGCCACATTTTACCTCGTGGCAGCTCGCATTTTATGCCACAATTTGGTCTGTGGCGATAGCTTAATGCAACAGGTGCCAAATCATGCCGGGATTTGTGGCAACAACCTATGCCAACAACTCTTTTCTTGTGGTGCATGCTCATCCGTGGTAATAGTCAATTGTGGCAATACCCTAGTAACATAAGACCACAACTCTCCAGACGTGGTGATACTAAAATTACAGCATAATCATTTTTGTGGTGATAAATAGTTGTCACAACAGACAGGACATTTGTGGTGAGAGGCTGTTGTGACAATACAAACTTTTCGTGGAGAAAGGACTATTCCAACAAAACTGAATTGGTGGCAACAAGTAGTTATCTCAATGGACTGCCTGTTTGTAGTGATAAGTTATTGCGATAATATAAAGTGTACTGTCACAACAGCCTAGTGCAACAAAATAGGTCGGCATGGAACTAAGATTTGATGCAACGCAACATTCTTCGTTGTGCCACCATGTTCCAACCAGAAATAGGTTGTGGCAATAGCCTATTGCAACCAGAAAAATATATACATGCATTCAATTACATGATTCAGATAATACATATATGATGTACATTCATACAATATCAATATTTGCATAGCCAATATCCATCAAATGAAACTAAAATATAATTTAGCACGCATTCAACATACTGAATGTGCCAACCTAATTAAGAGCGAAGAGTAAATTGTCCATGGTCTAAAGTCCATTCTAGTTAATCTTTGGATCCTGCAATGAAGAAATCAAAATTTTAGTTAGCTCAAGTTAACTGAAAATAGAAAATAATTAGTCAAGAAAAGAAAGAAACAACACAACGACAAATCAGCATAAAGATATAACCACTGTCATGACAATTGTATAATTACTATATTCATGCATGCATAGTACCTTTCTGGCCAATTGTTATGACTACAACAACTAGCGAGCAAATGCTTGTGCCTGATGTACCACTCCATTAACAATCAGGTGCTATGCAAAAAGAATTGGATAATTTCACAAAAGAATTTGTAGTTCAAACACAAGAATAATTACCTAAATAAATTAATAAAACATCTAAACTTCTCCGAAACAACTACATGCTGGCGCAAGTTCACAATTTCTAATGGTGAGAAAACTGTTCTATTTCTGGCTTCCCTACTTTATGTGCTTCAACAACAACAAAATACAGTAGTGCAAGCAAGCAGACAATTGCACATTATGAATGCTATTTGCGTATCAAATAAAGGTTAACATGAAGACAAACCAAGCTTGTGACTTACCACTTACCATTGCTCGAAACATTCGAATATTTGCAGCTTGTATGAGCATATTGGGAGCAATTACATTGTGCCTTGTACCTAGAGTCCCAGTAGTACTAGCGGTCTGTAAAAGAGTATTTTGCAAGTTTGGATTATTAATTTCTTTGTTAGTCCTTTTCTTATTCATCTGCAAATAGAAGTGCACTTTTAGCAATGCAAGCAAGCAAAATAAATCTTACAAATTTGCAAGCATATAACTAATCACCTGATGTGTTTGCGTCTGTTGGGAGAACTGTGCAAACTTTGCCATCATGTTTTTCTCAAATTCCAATATTGATCTTCGCTCCTCTTCCAACAATCTTTCCGTTTCAGCACGCTCTTCTTTTAACCTCTCCTCAAGGTTTTCTCTCTTAGCACGCTCGAAGTTAATCCTCTCTTGTGTGCTTTCACGTTCAGCTTGTAATTGATCTTGTAATTCGGTGACCTGATGGCTGAGCTCAGAGTTTACCTTTTGGATCTCTGTTGTAGCACGTTCTTGCTCTTCAAATTGTGATTTAATCCTTTTCAGAACCACTTCGTGGTTTGGCCATGTATCCATACCAATGTTGGGGATATCGCTTATCGGGAACTTATCGGTCGACCCATGATAAGGGGTAAATCGGCAAGTTTATCGGCATATCGGCCGATTTATCACCATATCGGCTGATTTATCAGCCGATTTATCTTATCGGCCAGACAACGATAAGCGATAAATCGGCCGATTTATCTGAATATCGGAAGATATCTTGAACAATGATCCATACCCATAAGGCTGTGATGAGTTGCATTGCGGAGTGTCTTTCTATGCGGTCTGGAAAATATTGCTTCTATGTTCACTGGAAACTGGACCTTCAGTTTCATTTTCTTTGTTTTGAACCTCTTTAAATGCTTTGTCCTAAATACGAAAAGTACACCTCGCCCTTTCTTCTTCTGTCCATCACTTTCTACAACCCAAACTATACAAGAATTATTGCAGTAATCAGTATTACATTGTAAGAAACGAGGACCCAAATATAAAAAAAGTACCATTCTATAGTTGTGCACGGTTGCGGTGAGCATGGGATGGCCATTCGTCCAGTGCACACATGTCATTAGCAGCTACATGAGTACCAGGTTGTTCTTGAGTTCCTGTAAAAGAATTAACAGTTTTGAAGATTAAGCGATCCAGGATTTTCCGTATTATAGCAAATGTTAGAGGTAGCTTAAATGTTATAGACATTTTACCAGATCTGTGTTGTCCATATTGGTTTTTGTAACCTGTTATACTTTCCATCCTTGTTATGAGAACATATCCTTTCTTTACTGAACACAAAAACAGTTAAGGGACTTAGCATTATCAATTTGCACCATTTAGATAAGTGATTAAGATTTAAGGATGCTGTGTACCTTGCAGAAAGGAGTAATGTGCATCATCTCTTTCCTCTGTAGCGAGCAAGTTGTGTACCTTGCAGAAAGGCTTAAAAGATTAAATGAAATCAAATTGTGTTATACCGTGCAGAACAGGAGCATGCAAAACAGAAGTCTTTTAGCATAGCATATGTCTATGATTTTGATTTAGAAATTAAAAGCTAGGCGTTAAAGATCAAAGCAGAGCACATATAATCAAGTCTATACTGAAGCTGTGAAGCATAGACATGATACACCAATTAGCATCCTGACAAGGCTACTCCCAATGCATACACATGCAGTAATCTAGCCTGAATGTGGTAAGCAAACTACTAGTAGTCTACTACCATGGTTAAATAAGCAGAATGCGGCAGTATGCTTCAGTCTAGCCTGAATGTGCTATGCTTCAGAAAACTTGGTAAGAACAACACAGGCACATTCTGGAACAGTACTAGCACACACACTTCCACCATTAGACTAAGCACCATCAGACTATGCATAACACTCCAAAATACAGAAATACTGGAGTCGTGGTTGTGGTCGCGGCCGCCGGCCATGGCTGTGGTCGTCGTGGCCGAGGCCCTGGACGGCATCGACGACAGCAGGTCGACCGTCTCCCAGCTCGGCGTGTGCGCCGCCGCCACCGCCGGCAAGGGAGCATGTTGCATCTTGGGGATTGTTGTAGTACGAAGACGAGGCGGGCTACTGCATCCCGGCGGCCATGCCGGAGGCGAGACCGAGGAGTGCTGCACGGCGGCCGGCGGCGTGGTAGTTCTACAATGGAAAGGGGGCGCTGTGCCTGCGCTGCACATCTACGAGGAGGAGATTTGGGACAAAGGAAAAACCTAATAAGACTGTATGTTCGATGGACTCCGTTGTGATCCGCGGTGTCGACGCTGTCATGACGCCGTGAGGAGGGAGGAACCAGAACGAGAGAGCTCAGATCCAATATTGATGATATGGTGAAGAGAAATAATCGGGAGCACTTATGAGGGGTGTTTAGCGGGGAGGTTAAGATTTTTTTGGCGCAAGACACGACCAAATTATTTGGTGGGAAATTAAAAAATTGGAGAGAAACTGAGGGCTTTAGCGGAAAGGTTAAACATTATTTCCGTAGAGCAAAGTACATGCTTAATTATTATTTTAGAAAGCAATTTTTAAGGGAACATTTAGAATAATGAAATAAATTAGGAAAAAATCGAATCAATATGGAATATATTTGGTGCTGAAAATAATATTACTAAAATTTGTTCATAAAAAGGTTATTTCAATGACTAGCCGACATAGATGTCCTCGTCGTTGGCAATCGTACATGACGGTTGTCATGGCAGGGAGACTACGCAGTCGACAAAAAACAACATACAAGGCACCGAGCCGGCAAGGATAATGGAAGTGGTGTGTGCTACACTCATTGACAGAAACCTCATATCACCCTCACTTTAAAACTATTATGTTATACTCCCGCAGAAAAAAAACATAAGTAGATATGGGGTGATGAGACGATCGATCTATCGGTCCCGATCTGACGGTTCAATCTTGAAATGGGGTGATAAGACGGGAGATGGTAAAGAAAACGAAGGACGCGATGGAAAACCGCTTTCTTCTTATCGGCCAGTCCGTCGATCTAATACAATTGAATCCAAAGAAGGCCCGATGGCCAGGGAGGTCATGTGGTTCCCACGGAGATCCCGATGGAAATACCTACACCAAGAACATATATAAATCATCTCCAATTGGAGGTCTTGTGGTTTCCACACAGATGGGGGAATAAAGCCATAGCTCATCTATCTCATCATCATCTTTGTCCCAGATCAACAAGTAGTTTATAAATACATATATAGCGGGTCATCATGTTAATCATATAACCAAAATTCAATGCCACCACATATGTTCGGCATTTTCCAACTAGCAAAACTTAGCTAATCAACCGATCTAGCTAGCTAACCATAGCTGGCACTCCGGGGCTACCAACTCACCGGGGCTTCTAGTGTGAGGACGACACCGATCCAGTATAACCCAATCCAAGGAAGACCCGACGGCCACGCTGATGTAGAATCTCGCAAGGGAAATATTGGCGTTGTGCATACTGAAATCACATGGGAGAAGGAGTAGCTATCAGGGCATACTAGATCCTGACATGAGAATACCTAAACCAAGAACATATATAGATCATCTCCATCTAAGGTCCTGTGGTTTCCGCACATGTGGGGGGAATAGAGCCACAGCTCATCATCATCTTTGTCCCAGATCAACATGTAGTTTATACCTACATATATAAGGGGTCATCATGTTAATCATACAACCAGAATTAAATGCAACCACATATATTCGACATTTTCCAACTAGCAAACCCTAGCTAACAGTAACCTGCGCTCTCAGGCTACAAACTCACCCGGAGCTTCTAGTGCGAGAATGACGTTGATCCAATATAATTCAATCCAAGGAAGACCCGATGGCCTGGACTCGGATGGAGATCCATTTGCAGAGAAAGAGGCCATGTACGTCTAGTTTGTCTACATAAATCATATTTGAATTGAATTTCTTCACTCATCAAAAGGTCCTGGTAAAGAATACACTTCAGTTCTGCAAACAGTTCGGAAAATAGTCAAAACTCTGTTGACCTGGGACTCCATTGCCTGGTCCTCTAAATACTGGGCTGAATATACTACCACTCTAAATTAGCCCATGAGCAAATATAGCCCTACTTCTCTTCTCATTCTTTCAAGTTTGGCCACGCGTCCACCGACCTCCATTGCAATCTCGCTGAATCGCTAGGTCTAGGCAGATCCTATGTTGACGCGTGCATGCATCAAGGAGCCACGGCATTGCTGAAAGTGCCCAGTCTTGACACCCAGTTTGGGTTAGCCCACGGTCGAGCTTCACTGGTTCTACATTTTTTTCTGTTTCTCTTTCTTATTTTTCATTTTGTTTCTTTTATTTTCATTTTTATTTCTTTTCTATTTTTTTGTATTTGTATTTGTATTTTTTTTCTTTTTTCATATTTCAGATTGTTGGTATGATAAAACAGTTCATTGTGTAAAAAAATATCCAATGTGTATTACAAAAATGTTTATTTTATATTAAGAAAATGTTCATGGTATAGAAAAAAGCTTAATACGTATTATAAAAATATTCATTGTATACTAAAAATGTTAATTATATATTTGATTTTTATTTAGCATATAGAGTATTACACAAAATGTTCAATTTGTATTTGCGAACTGGTCAACCCTTGTTACGAAAATATTCAATGCATATTAAAAAAATATTCAATATACATTAAAATATGTTTAATGTGTACTTGAAAATTGTTCGTCATGTGTATATATATATATAGTGTTACTATTCATCACCCAGCCTGCAGAATAAGTTATTCTCCATCCGAGGTAATCTTACAATCATTTCATAATTAAATTACATTTCGAATTCAAATAGTTACATTTCTATTGATTCACTACGTAAAATTTGACATAAAAAAATAAAAATATAGGTCATAAGACAAGAAAATCTACAATTTATATGTATTTTAGACTATGTTTTTATGTTTGTAATTTTACATAACATAAAATATTTTTTACGGCGATTATATATTTCTTACGGTCCCTTTTTGCGTCGGAAATAAGACAAAATTTACGGAACGTAAAATTACGGTGCATTAATGGTAAAATAGAGTGGGGGTGAAGAATAACTAGTCCTCACCAAGGGTGACGAATAGCGCGACGTTGTGTACTACTGGGAGTACGTACTTCCACTCCTCATATACCACATAGATAAATCTTTTATACTTTTTTATTATTTTTAATATACTTCATTAGTAATTATTAGATACCCCAAAATGAGTTTCATGAAAAAATTCATGTGAGTCTATGTATTTGTAAATATTTACGTATATACTGATGTGTTTGTACGTGAAAAGATATATTACAAAAAAGTACATCGCGGATGATATTTTTTCAAGTAAACTCATATTGGGGTATCTTAGAATATTTAATGAAGTATACTGAGAATAATAAAGAGGTATAATTAATGCGTATATGAGGTATATTGAGGATGGG